GTCCACAAATACAGCTTAATGATGTCATTATTTTGTTTTCCTCAATAACAACTGAATAAATAAGATCTGTCTCAAGGTTGTCTCAATCTTCACACAGTGAGAAAACTTTAACATATAATTATGTTTGTTATAAATTCAATCTTGATATTTTTACCTGTCAAAATAATATCATCGTTAAGGGTTAAATTATTGAAGAAGTACCGCACGTTTCAATATTTCGTTGTGATATTACAATATTAAAATAATATACAATTTCGAAACAAACGTGCAAATCAAACCGCAATATATAATAGAAATAGCCAATCATGAGGTGGTTTTAAAAACTTACTTTTTAGTACAAAGGAAATACATAGAAAAGTACATTTGATAATACTGTACTGATACGGCCCTCTATCGGACATAAGGAAAGTTACTGAAATGTACGACATATGAAAAATTCTATTTTTCTGTATGTTATTTCTTTTTAGCACGTAACATTTAAAATGCAAATAATATTTACATGTTTATTATCTATCTATTAAGGATATAAGTTAAATTGGCATTTTCTGATAATTCTCATCATTCATATTAACTACGAATTTAGAAGTTTTAGATAGATAGATTGATTGATTCAATTAATGTTTCATGTTTATTATTTTTAGGGGGAAAATCGATTCACACGATATTTTATAACAGGCAAATTAAGTTGAGAATAAAATAACAAGCTGGTATGATGCTAATGACAGGTATAAATTCACCGACGTATAGTTTTATATGTCTCTTCTTGATCCAGATGAGCTGTTAAGCTAGATAAGTATTGGTCTTAGAAAACTAACAGCTGTGTCTAGAAAAAAACTTTTTGTTGACCTACTTTAAGTGCTATGTCAATATCCTAAGATAAAACATTTTAAGTGATTAAGGACAATGTTCAAGACATATAAAATGAAAACAATGTCAATATTAAAAAAATAAATTGATACTATTGCATGCATCACCTTAACATAAAGCTTTGCTTAAGAAATGAATATCGAAAACTAAAAACTTGCTTTCGTCTTAGGTGATGGTAAAACATTTTGATGCAAGAAACGATGTCAGACGACATTCCTTTCTTGTTTCTTTTCCTTTCGTTTAGTTGTGAACACGTATGCTGCAACAGTGCATATATTTGAAACAAAACAACCTTAACATGTTTAAGAAGAGGAAAAAGACGAAATTGTATTTACTTTGAATATCATCAAAATTATCAAAAATCATAATAGTTGGTGAAGGATGATATTTTGCTATGACAATCGTTACTATTTGTGTCTCTAAAGCGAAGCGGAATTTTGAGAAATAAATGCGAATGATATGAAGCTTGCTTTTCGTAAAATGCTGTCAGCCAATTGATTTAAAAAGTGGGTAATGTTTCTTAAAGGATTCACTATGGGGGATTTAACTTCTAAAGAAGAAATACTCAAAGGCACCATGACGCATATTCTGACACGAAAATCTATTTGTATGTTTTATTCTGTCTGTCGGCAATTTAATAAAGTGAAGTACATTGAATAATATTATAATACATCCAAGCGTGAAATTACACAATTCTTTTAGAAAGATGTAATTGTCTTGAGACCTGGTTATATTGCTGTTTCACAGTTCAGAATTTTCTCATATGAATCAGGTCGAAGAAAGACAGGCTAGGTCATGCTTGTTAAATGTTCTCAATATTTTATTTTACTAATACTACATTTTTGCTATGCTTTTACACATAACGAATTAAATTGACTGAGTATTTTGTTTGTTTTTTATTTAATTTAACTTATTAATAACATGAATGCTTGATTTAAATTAGGTTTAGGCATGCAGTATAATTATTCCCAGAAATTGTACACTGTCAGGTAAATTTTTAATAAGAATATATTAAAGCATGTAAACTTAATTTTGTTTACTTATTTAGTTGGTTGATATTACGTCTTAAAGTGATTTTATGCGCATTTATGATAGCTGAATTAACTATATTTAATAATATTGACTGTTAAAATCATGTTGGTATTAGAAAATGGATAAAATAAAAAGGCTGCCCCACACTTTTCATAAAGTGAACGTAACAGGTAGTTTCAATTTGATTACAATACGCTCTAAATAACGCTTCGATTTTAGATCTGACCGTGACCAAATACGAAACCATTTCTGGAAATATTTCACACAGCTAATCATCGGCGAGCTTTCATACTTTTGAAAGCGATGTGATTTGTAATTTTAATCCTGGGAAAACAATACTGAGTAGGTAATTGACACGATTTTTAGAACAAACATCCATATAGCCGACAGGTTAACTGAAAAAAAAATCTTACCCATTATAAATTTACACTATTTTTTCAAGTTATTTTGTTTGTCTTCAACGGATAACTGTATTTTGATACTTCTCCTAATGCCTTTGTCAAAACCGATTTGATTGCATGGCTAAGAAATAGCTTTCTCGGGAAATCCGAATTTTAAGAAGGCGAAACATATACGGTCGTCGTCAGATCTACATAAAAGAAATAAGTAGATCTGAACTTTAGTCAGATTGAGGTAGTTTTGTTGTATATTTATAGAAATTACCTTGAACTGCCGGAGTTATAAATCGTTCATGCGAGGTAAATTATGAAATTGAAAGGATTTATGGCGAAATGTAAAATTATTTTGACTTTCACCTGTTTACTCGCTATATACATTTGGATGGTCATAGTGGTACTTTAAGTTTTCGTTAATGCAAAATTGAATTTATATTAAGCATATTAAGATACGACATTTTATTTCTCAAAACGAGATCAAAATTGGTACACGGCAGTGCTTTTCCTATTGTGCGTGTACTTTTCTCTGCTCCTATTCATTAACTTAAGATTAAAACTATTACGATTATGATAATACCGTCCAATTCATACAATGATTAGTAAAACAACTGGTTATACAATATTCATATCAATATGATAAACAAGATCAACAAGGAAAGGCGGACTTCAGTGAATGCAACACCCACACGACCAAGCAACAATGACTAGCGGCCGAGAGTCCAGGAGGACCCTAAACAAAAAAAACAGGAAAGGGCACAAGGCAGAGCACTCTTTAAGCTAACTTTCACCATTTTATGAAATCTTAAAAGAGGTTTAGTAAGTTAACTTTGTAACAAATATCAGAACAGATTTGGGTTATTACGATGAAGCCTAACAGTTATAAGAAAACGGCATATTTCCCCAATACAGGCAGAATATTTCCAATATTGTGTTTTCTTCCCTATCAAAAAGACAACATTCCTACAGCAATCAGTTACCACGGGCAGAACTAAGAGGAATACCAAAACGTTGGTAAATTAAGTGTCTTTCGAGTATTCATTTTGCAAAAGGATTTTGGTGCTTAAGAAAATATTCTTAAAATATGAATATTATTAAAAAAAGAACAAAATAAATATAAAACATATTGGACATACATTATTTACATTATATGGTTATTGTATTGAATAGGAATAAAGTGAATTATTAAACAAAGAAGCCTGAATTAACTGATGGCTAAAATTATTCAATCTCTAAATGGAAACCAGATGCATTGCAGTGTAAGATAATGTGTGCTTTATTTTTACTCATTTTATTTAGTACCGTTTTATAAACATGTACGAGGGCTGTTCGCGAAGGCCGTGTAAAAAGATGGCACTAGACAATAGATAAATTATATAAAGATAAAAAATGCATTTCTAGAAAATTTATTTCATTAAAAATCCAGTGATATACTACACATGCTTTTATAAAACATGAAAATACTTTAAATCACAGAAAACCTAATGCATGTAAGTACAACCGGGGCAGTGACGTCGCGCTTAACGTCAAAATTCACCGTTTTATCTATGTAGTCAACGCCTACGCGCGCGTACTTCCGATGCTGGTAAATCCATTTCGGACTACTCTTGGTAAAACATTGCACCATTGTTATCTCTTTAGAAATCTGGAAACGGATTCCACGTAGCCGTGCCTTTAGTATCGGAAAAAGTCTGAAGTCCGTTGGAGGCAGGTCCGAACTGTATGGTGCTTGTCGTAACATTCGAGCTCTCTCGAATAGAAGTAAATCGGGGCGTTTCTTTCTTAATGCACGTTCGAGATCCCTCCTCAGAACCTAAAATTAAAAAACGCGAAAAGCATACTGTTTTTTTTTGTGTAATAATTATGATTTGTTCATACAGCTGTGTGTAATATTATTTATAACTTATTTTAATGGTATTTTATTATTTAATCTAAAGTTTTAAGTTTTCAACAATGATAATTTTTAACAATATCGTGTATTCATGGTTTGTCCGTCTGGAATCTGGTATTGTAGAATTTTGCTTTCTCTGTCCATGAAGAATAGGAACATAAGTTTGCCGCCAATTCTAGTTACTTAAGCTTGTCTAGCGGGTAGAGTCTGCGGGGTCTTCCACATGGATGGCTGGACTTTGGATTTAGGGTCGTAGTGCCACAACCAAGATTCATGAAGCGTAACAATGCGGTCTGAAAACGTATTACCTTTGAACTCCATTCGCCTCAGAAACGCTATAGAACACTCAATACGACGTTCCTTATCATGATCCGATAGTAATCTCGGGACCCATCTTGAGATTACTTTAGATATATTTAAATCGTTTGTAAGGATGTTTTAAACGGCAGACAGCGAAACACCATGTTTCCCAGCACGCGCCCTCACTGTTAGGCGACGATCTTCCATAACTAGAGCTCGGATTCATTCCACATTTTTCGGTCTTACAACTGCTGGTCGGCCAACCTTAGGCTCTGTTAAAATTGAAGTCACACAATTCCGGACCCGATCGTAATTTATAAACAAATGGGATACTAATTTGACGTTCTAAGCCAGTTTCTATTATTTCCCGTGCCTGTTCTGGTGTGTGACCAAATCGGCGTATAAATTCAACAGCTCTCTCACTTCATGTCGGATGAAGTATCACTCTGTTGGTATTAACAAATTTGTTGACAACTTTGCAAGCATTACAGTAGAGAGATTTAATCCGCTTTACTTGGCTTGTGCTAACATTCAAACATGAAATCAAATTAAAGCTGTGGTGATCGGTTTAAGTTAGTCGACACTACATCTTAAACAAAAGGTATTTGAAAATTGCTTTCAAAAAAATATTTTTCCAGTTTTACACGGACTTCGCGAACAACATTCGAATAGTGTCATCACAGGTATAAAATAAAACACATTGGTTCCGTTTGAAACTATTGTATGTAAACAACTAAAACACTATATAGTGCATTGTTTCTTGAGTATTTTAACAAAATTGATATATACATTTATCCATCAGAATAATAGGATATTTTAAAATGGGATGTACATGTGAAAAGATTTGGAGGCGAAAACATTCAAAAATTGGTAATAAATGTGACATTTTTGATTCATTACCACATATGACAGATGCACAGAAAGCTGTTATTCGGAATAATTGGCAAATTTTAAAATGTCATGTGGCAAATATTGGAGTTATAACATATGTTGGGTATGTACATATTTCAGGTTTTCTTTTCTTGAATAATATGTGAAGTGTCTAAAAAAGCTAATGGATTTATGTTACAATATACAAAAGTGTTATTATGAAACAAAAACTTTAAATTGCTGATAAAAAAATCACCGATTCAGCACAATCATGTTTTAATTAAATAAAATGCTTTATATGAAATTTAGAATACGCTTATTTACAAACCTTTATCACACAATGTTACTTAAATGACATAGTTTAGTTTTCCTCTTTGTACTAGTTTTATTCAAAATGCATTCACAGAATGTTTGAAAGCAGGCCAGAACTTTTAGAAGTATTCTCGAAGTTCAAAGGTCGAGATGTAGATGAACTACGGCGAGCTGGTCTTCTTCGGGAACATGCACTTCGGGTAATGGCCACGATTGACAAAGTGATTACCCGACTTGACGAGCCTTCCAGTTTAAAACAGATGCTCAGGGAGGTGGGAGGACATCACAGGGTATATAAAGTGCCTCCAGATTATTTGCAGGTAATTTGACATTAGTCTCCAAATATAGCTTTTATATCAATGTTTCTGTCCTGGATGTTTACATTTTTAAAATATAAAATATTTCGTTGATAAAGTTTTTGTAATAATTGTATGCAAACATGTTTGTATGATTTAATTGTTTGAATCGTTTTTACTAAGTTAATTACATTTTTCGTCATCTGAAAATACCACAGCTTTCAACCAGCATATTAACTGTACATACTAACGCAATCCATTTTCCAATTTATTCTTAATCTGTACATCTTTATGTATATATGAATTAAGGGTGTGTATGATTTGTAAACAAATTTTAACCTATCGCTTTGTTTCAGGTCATTTTGCCTCATTTTCTAAATGCAATTAAACCTCATATTGAGGAGCATTGGTGTGATGATTTGGAGGACGCGTGGAAAACTATGTTTGCCATTATTTTGTATCATATGAATGAAGGATATAATGAAGGACATAGTGAGTCAAACCATAATCAGGCAAAACACATTGTTGAACCTTCAGTTTGAACTTAATTTGTATGTGGAATTGAATGCTACACGTATCAGGACATAATAAAGGAAAATCTATATAAACAGTATTAAATCGACGATTATAGAATATGTGAAAGTCTAAAGTAACATATTTCGTAAGCATACCTTGTTCAATTGTATTAAGTATGTATAGGATCTCAATTACAACTTTTGTTAGTAGAATGTACGTATATAAAAACAACTCCAACAACTAAAATAAGTATAATCTAATAAATTATACATTTTTGTTTTAGTAGGAGGAGACAGCATTTTAAAACGACATGGATTCCTTTTTTCATTTGACGGAGTATGTTTCAAGAAAAATTGTAATTCTTTCAACCATTCTTGCATGCGGGACTCTGAATTGTGACAACTCCAGTATGAACAAAACCACTGATGTTAAACCCATCTTTGGTGACGACTTCATATTATTTCGGTGTATAATGTTCTTAGTAAAGGCGTGTTATTTTAGAAATATCTAATCTATGCAAATATAGGAATATTTTTGATAAAGAAATAATGGCATTCCCGTCGCTTGTTCACGTTTTAAGATAAAGTAAATATAGTGTATGTACTAACATCAATAAGAATTAATGTTGAAGATGCTATATATATTGATATGGGTCACTAGTTTTCACTCGAATTGTTAGTAATTAGTTTGTAAAGTTGATAATTGTAAAGTTGTTCCTGATATTTTACAGTAAATTTTACTGTTGCATAATCACAAACAAACTATCAATTGCAAAATATGACACTGCCTCATCATTTTGTAATACATTTGTCTCATTTTGGAATTTTTGAGTCTAGTACATTGTAATATTTTCAGACAGCATGACGTGGCAAAATTGCCACTTTCATGTCATATTTCTAATGACAATTATCAATCAAATAAAGTACAGTTGATTTTTCGATTCAAATGAAGAACACTTATTTTTCGGTTTCCTTATTCAATGTATGCGTCATATCTTTATTCCTTCATACCTAAAACTGCCTCCATGATTCAATATCAACATCCTAGATAAATGAAGTTTGATAGATAATATAGAAGTTTTAAATACTTGCCAATGCATAGTAGAATAAAATAGATAAATACAGAGTCCCTAAAGAAAGCCCAACACGGCAAAATTAAAAATTTTGCAGGCTCGGTTTGATTGAGCCTGTTCATGGACGGTACTGGAAAGTGCAAGTTACCGTCCACGCCCCCTAGCACCGGCTTAAGCAGAATTCAACATTTAAACATGAAATGGTAAAATTTGGAATTTAGAAACATCCGCAGATGTGTTCATAAGTTCATTTAAATATGGTGTGGAAAAGGTATTAAAAACAAGTTTTCTTGTGTAATAATGTTTTAAATATGAATTTACACACATTAGAAAATACCCTATAGTATATATATATATAATTGAGAACTGCATAAAAAAAGTTGAATACTTTAATTGTTTCCAATCAACATATAACTTACAAATATTAACGAGATTAATATAAGGATAAAGATTATCCGAATTCCGTCACCAATGGGTTTTAGACTCTTTCATGTGGGAATGCTTCCCAGCTTGCTAAAGGACCGTCGGATGTTTAACTCTTATGTCGTTTCGTGCGTGGCACCTGAGATATATGAAATATCTCTCCACAGTTTAAGCATGAATGTTACAGTGACAGTATGACTTTAAACCCGAAGAGAATGTTGTTGTTCTAAAGTAACAGTTTCTTCCTCCGAGTTCATATTCCTTCAAATGAAACATATGTCTTCTTCGTTTTCTTTCTTGCGTCTATCTACGTTGAATGTTTGTTTATATGAATTAATACGGAATATTATAGTGTTGTAGCTTTCTGAAGCTTTATATTTAACTATACAAATCAAATAGATATCTTGCGTGATCGGAGGCCCAACGATATATAATTTTCCCACGCAGCGAGTAACAAAATACTTGGCCTCAGAAAGCTTTTACAACATAATTATCCTTTTATTATATACCTCATGTTTTAAGACAAAATGTTTCAATATTCTTAATTTCTATAATAAGTTATTTCAGAAATTGATATATAGCTGTCAAGAAATAAAAATCACGAATGACTGATAAATACTATTTTCTTTGCAAAAGAGGCCACGCCTTCAGAAGTGTTGCTTCTCGTTTCCAAATGCTAACTACTACACAGCTTAAATGGACACCAACTTGAAAAATTGTCCAGCGCTTCCATATATGGGACTGTATTTGTCATTTACATAATATTGACTTTTCTATCTGTTGAAGCGTATTCGCACTTCACAATTTGCGTGTATTTAGGGAGAATATTATAGGTATATAATAAATTTTGTTACTCGGATTTCATGCTCCAAGAGACTGTCAAAATTGTAAATAACTGCAATCTCAGCAGTCCATTAGTAGGCCACTATGTATTAATGTCATTTATTTTGTAGTAATATCATAAAATATCGTTTCTTTTTACTTCCAGAATCTTTTAGCGTAACATGATATTTTTCAAGTTATAAGAACATATTAATTTAAGCTATCATATTGGGGTGTTGCTGTAGACAAGGAGGAGGTTGCATGTTGTGATAAAACATGTTATGTTCCTTAGCATATTTTCATTTTCTCCTTATTATAAGTACGTAAGTAAATTCACAACTCACACATTTTAATAAGCATATTTTATACAAAATTGTTACTACAGATTATCATAGATGACATGACAGTAAAATCAAAATAAACATTTCTTACCCTAGCTTAAACTTTTTACGCTTTAGATGAAATATATTATATTGCTCAAAGTCCCGCTCTTAGAAGCATTTGTATTCATTATCACGGCTTAAAATGTCAAAATATCGCTTGTTGGACATATAAATCACATCTGAAATACAAGTAAAAACATGTGCAAAATACATAGACAGTTTAAAAAACAAAATATATTCATTTCATGTCTTTAAAGAACATGGAATTGTTCTTTAGAGGTTTTGAAAACAGTTGATACAATACAATACCTTAAAATATCATTAAAATGTTTTCAATTTTCAAAATAATATACAAGATCTGTGTTTGTTTGAAACGGATTTTTTCTCCAATTTGTCCTCTCCAAATAAAATATATTTTGATGTATGCATATTTCTTTCATTATATTTTAGGACTTGACAATAAAACTTAGTCTGTTGTTTTGTTTTCGAATATACATTCATTTTGTAGTTTTATTACTTCCAATATATCATTCTACTTTTTTCAGTGTTGTTATTTTATGCTCATTATGTCTATAATATGGTGTTTAATTTAATCAAGAATTTTCTAAGCCAAAGTATTGAACGATCATTTTACATACCTTTCTAATCAAATCATATGTGAAACATGAAATCAAGATGGAAAGTAAACATGCATCTACGACGAAGGGGAGTAATAAAGCCATTAAAAATAACGATATGTACTAGTGTTATACCATTGCAACATTTTCGTTATAGAAACATAGTGTAACTATGCTCTATGGTCATTTTTACTGTAAACTGTTCTCTTAATTTGGGTATGAATTGTGATGTAGGTTCTTAATTTATTGAACTCGTTCCAAAAAATACTCGGATAGTGTAATTTTATTCAACTCTTATTTTCATTCAGTATTGACCCTAAACCCTTTCAATAGCCTCAAAATCAGTGGTTGTCCCTCTTTTTGACGCAATGAAAAGTCAAATACAATAGAAAACTTATATAGAAATGTATCAAGTTATAAAATCTTCACAAAACATTGTTAATACTAATCGAATGATTATAATGATATTGCTTTACCATTCAGATTCGTGTTTAAGATAATTACGTTTATATTGTTAATGTGTTTACTAAAATATATGAACGCTCCAATTAATGTTTGAAAATACAGATTATTTCTTTTAGCCTCTTCTTATATGTAAAATAAACATCATTGAGTATCCACTGGGAAGATGTTTAAACTTTACACACTGTAAACATAGCATGAATATATAGTTTCATAAAGGCGGATTTTAAGGGGGAAAAACACCTTTTAAGAAAGCACCAAATTAACTTGACTAATAATGGGGCATGGGGTATGAAGCCTCCCAAACATAGTTTATTTTATGCATTGTCGTTTTCAAATTAGACATATTCAGTTAGAATTTCCTATATTTCAATTAATTCCTGCAACAAAGGTAATTGTAAGGCAATATAATAATGCAGAAAACTAATTTATATTTGAGGTGAGAATGAAATGTCACGACAAATGTCAAACCATCCCGACAACAATATATGGTTTGTTATTGAATTATTCACATATCTGACAGTTAAACTTAATTAGGAAGAATAAAAGTGACATGATAAGATGAAGAATTGGAATATTAGATCAATATACATTCAATTTCTGTGCTGCAAGAGTCTGCAATATTCAGACACAATAATTTCCGCACATAAACTTGAATTTTTCAACAATATATGGGGTACAGTCTTGTAAGACATTGCCCTATGTACACTCCTAAACAGCTATTCATATACATTTTATATCAATTGTCTGCACTTGATATTAGATTATCTTGAAAAACAAAATCAGCACATAACTTATCTTTTATTTAAGACAGCTCTATTACAAATGCTTTTTTCTAATCTATTGAAATCATGAAAGCTATGTAAATGATTCAAAACATTTCATAATAAATGGACTGATATTTGTCAATAGTATTATGTCCTTGCCACTTTCCACTTCTGTTACTAACGTTTTATGTGTATTATTTTATATTCATGGAAACATAAACTCGTAAAAATATAGAATTTCTTAGAAGTAATTGTCCGCTTAAGGCTTATTCTAAATAAATTACATTAAGATATATTGATATTTGGCTAGAAATTCAATTTAATTAAGTGATATCAATTGAAAAGTCGAGCAAAAAAGGACATTGATAAATCATTTAGATTATCAGCAAAATCGACAATTGGTTTGGAGTCTTGAAAAAATGCCAGCCTTTGAAAGATGTGGCGTGTATCTTATGACAATATCCTTATTCAGGTGTATCACCTGCTGAAATAATTTCTACCAACGTTATAGGCTGCTGCGCATGATGTAAAGTTACAAGTTACAATCTCAAAATATTAAGTTCCCTTTTATTGTCGCGGAAACAGGGAAATCTACGATCCCTGTCAGAATTGAATTAAGAAGCTGTTATATTTATATTGCCAAATGACAGCATTTCCTGTTAACGAATAAAATATATGGTTACTTATTTGCAATGACATTGAATACCTTTAAGAATTTCACTTTTTGGTTTTTTGTTCTTTTTTGCAATACCCTTTTAGTTTAAAATATGAGTGGTTTTAATAGTCCAAAAGCACATTACAAATTACCAAAGTAGTAGGGTTATGCTTGAAATAACTCCAACAGTGATAAAAGAAGACAATCCAGTTAACAAAGATTATTCATCAGTGTCAGTCTGTAACATTGTTAGTTACCAAAACTGAGACAGCAATGTCAAACCCCTCCTTGTTATTCTCCTCGGGAAATTATTCTAGTGTCTGAATGGATATAACAAGATTAAAGCAATGATTTAGACATTGGTTTCAGCTTCCTCAGAATTAAAACATTTTACTGATATCAAATAAAGTGACGAGCTTAGAGGGGGTGTGAGAGATGTTGAAATTTTGAATTACCTCTCATGAACAGACCGTTCCAATGTATATTAACCAAACATCTGGGAAGAAGTTACAGAATGATAAGAGAGAGTTTGTTAATGAAATAGTGTCAATTGATAGAGAAAACATGCCTCACATGTCATTTTTGGGTTTTGTTTTTTATTGGTTTGGATTTTTTTTTTTGGAAGACAGGAATTTCTCTTTTAAAAAGCAATATATGAAAGGCCTCGATACAATTGCCTTTTATGAGAATTGTATAAGTTCATGCCTGTATGTACTATACTTTATGATATCACAAGTAATTCAATAAAACTAGAAAATAATAAGGTGAAAAATATATTGGAATTTTAACACAAAAGAAGGTAAGA